AAATCATAAATGTATCATTGTTACATAAAAAAAATATTGATTTTATAAAGTAGAAAAATGTCTTTGTAAAAGAAATATTAACATGTTATTTCTCTGTATTTATACATGTAACAAAAATTCTTTTCTATGAAAAATATCTTTTTTTCGTGGGACAATTCTACTAAAAAAAAAACACAGGTGCCATTGAAACGATATACGACACTGGACATGCGTGTATTCTGCTAGTATACTCACGCTCGACTTTTCGTTCTAGAAATAGAAGTGAATGAGAGCGTTGAGCAAGTGTTTGTTGTGTGAAAGACTCGAGTACATAGCAGTGTCAATCCCGGATAATCTGGAAGCAGTGACGTCCTGTTTACTCTGTTTTGGTAGTCTAGCGTGGCGAACGAGTGCCCGGAAATATCGCCGTCAGATTCCGGCATGTATATATTTTCGGCGTCTTTTAATTAGATAGAGCCTCCGCGACGCGGTACTCGTAAATTATTCGAGTTCCTAATTAGACCGTCACCGCGCGTTCAGCCACGAAAGTATTCCTCTGTCACGAGGAACGACGTTCTCTTTGACGTTTATTGTTTTATCGCACACTGAAAGAAAATTATTAAATTAATAAATATGTATTTCAATACTGCCTAATCAATCATTTATTTGAAACAAATATTTATCTGTTTTTGAAAAAGATTTTCTTATGTCAAATAAATGATTTATTAGGCAGTATTGAAATAAATATTTAGTAGAAATCAATACATTGTTTTCAGTACAAATTCCGATTATTCAAAATTTTTTAATGAGAAACATTCCAATATTTTGCTTCTCGACCAACAGATAATAATTTTAAAATCTCAAGTAATTATTGCAAAATGTTTTTCCTGCGATATATACATATTTGCTTTGTCAATTTTAGATATCATTTAATTGACAACTACAAAGTGGGATAATTTTAAAACAACTTGGAACAATAATTCGTTATTCTTCAGAAAATACTTGATTCTCCTCAATTTTATGAATGAATATTTTCAAAAAAACATGATACCATTTTTTTGCATACATAAATGCATAACACGATTTCATGAATGTTTTATTTTTTAATTACTAGATTTTATTAAATTGTATCATCTCTACACATAATCACAATTTTATTTGTAATTTTATTTGTAACCATTTTCGTCACAAGAGAGTGATCCTATATATTTTTTATCAATCTTTTTTTTATTTTGATGAAAGCTGATTGCCTGGATGCAATTGAGATAAAGTAGATAGAGAATTTGTACTTAAAGTAGCAGTTAAATTGGTCTACTTTATGCGTCTCCTAAGCTTAGTAAGGTAACAATTCTATCGAGGATAGCGAGATAAAGCGGCAGGAGATTCGTAACAAAGCGAATCCACGGCTTTCAGGGAGGCGTTTTTGAGATTTAAGAGAGGATTCGGGGGGTAACTTCTAGTAGATACACCTAAAGAGAGGGAGGTCATAACGAATGAAATGGCGCATTGCGTTTTACGCTCACGCGAAACCGTTCATTCATGCCTACTCTTTGCAAACAATAGGTCGTAAATGCGACTTCAATTACGTTGCAATTAAGGCGACGCGTGATTTACGCGCTACTGCACCAGAGAAACGTGTTACATAGTGCGTAAATATCGTAACACGTGTAACTTTACGGAAGCGCGCAACTCGTGCGACCTAAAATTTCAATGACTCTGTCGGTGAGGAATTTGTGATAAGCTGAATGCTCCGATTAATAACTCTCTCTTCTGGTAGAAAATGAGAGAAAAAGAAAGAGAAATGTAATACGATAATTTTAATTTCTTGAAGATATAAGCCATGCACTTGTTTTTTTCTCCGAGATAAAAATGCAAAAATTGAAGTGAAATAATTCTTATGTAATGAATGATTCTTATTGTCGGATAAATATGTACTTATTTTTGTAAAAATTTCAATTTTGACATTTCTCGTCTATTTTTCTATCTTTAATTGACGTCCCAGAGTACGGGGAAAAATATATACGGATTTATAAATTTTTTTTTCTTAAAATAACGCCAACATGAATATCGCTTGCTTCACCATTTTTTTTAATTTTGAATTTATTAATAGACTGAAATTATGCTGACTTTATATATATCGTCGAGCAATACGATAAGAAGATTGAGTAACTCAACATTTCGATGTTCGAAGGTTCTTACGTTATCTAATTTCCTGACGGAAGTCGTGTTTTTCCAGACAAGTAGAGCACAGTTTCGTGTCTCGAGGCCACAAGTCGATATACGAAAAAGCATACATCGCGTGTATATATACATATATATATATATATATATATATATATTAAATCAAAATTTAGTAAAAGATCTCTTTCTATATTCTGTCGAGTATATTTTCATTTTGGACCGTTTTTCTGTTACATCAGCTTTTTAACTCTATGGTCTCATCTTTTTTATGAGTGGCCCTGGATATAACAATGTAGAAGAATATCCTTCCGTACCTTCTTTCTTAAGTCTTTCTCTGGCAATGACAACAGAGCAGAAAAAAATCTGCGAATAATAAAACGAAGGTCTCTTGAGAAAACGAGATGTCTATTATCTTCTTTCAGAGACGCTGAGGATGATGAAAGAAAATTGCAGATTTTCGTTGACTTAGCATTTTGCAGCATAAATTTTACATTTTTGAAAACGAGAATTTAATTGATTTATTATTAAGTTACATGTCAAAATGTATTGCAAATGACAGATGTAATCGCGTGTTGTAAAATAGAGTCGAAAGTCCGCGATAAAATGTAAGGTATAAATTATTAAAAATGATTTTCGTAATTTTTTAGAACCTCTAAAGAAAACCAATCATTTTTTTTCGTTTATTTATAATTTAAAGTATTTTTTAATTCCTGAATAATTTGTATCTCAATGTTTTTCTTATACATATATTTTTTTAACATTTTAAAATGCATTATTCTTAGCAAAAATAAATTGTATTATTGCGTTCGTTAATGGAAGTAATTATAAACGCGTAAGAAGCAATTAAGATGTACGTTCTTTTATTTTTGTCTCACAAAACAAAATTCTTACGTTGCACTTCGTTGTCTTCGCTTCTCTTTCTCGGCATCCAACGAAACCATATAGAAACATCTGCCTCTTCCAGGAAGGTGGTCTTGAGATAATGCCGCATGGAAACGCGTTCTGTACATACAAAGTTGCTGGTTTCTCCTAGAGAGCGAAGACATGTTTTTCTCCAGTTCCGTGTGAAAAACGCGACCATATATTTTTCCCTCGTCTCTTATTTCAAGCGACCAATCTTGATCAGTGAGATTTTCACGACGAACTCTCGAAATTTATGTGAAAAATGCTTTTGTTTCTCTAACCCGACACCAAAAGTGTGTATATGAAAAAATTTTATCATGATGTAAAACAAATTCTTTGCCCTTCTTTCTTCATTCCTTTGCCCTTTTCTTTCTTCCTTCCGTCCCAGTTTTCTAATTAATAATTTCTTATCGCAAGAGGAAATTGATAAGTAGAGAAATTTAATCAAAATCACCAGAGTACATCCGTTTACAAAATAGTTACTAATTGTTGCTCAACATATTTGTTAATATTTGTTATTAATCTGTAAAATAAAAAATACACTTTAACGAGATTATTATTTGATTAAACAATCCAGGTAGAGCAAGCATATGTCATTTAACGTCAAAAAGGCGTTATTTTGACATTTAATGACGTTTGCTACTTGGGAACGTATATACATAAAAATTCTCTATTTCTCACAAAATAAAATATTAAGGAAATGTATTATTGAATTAAATTGTATTGTATTATCTGGAACCTGACGAATTTTCTCACAACTAGTATATTTAATAACGACCACATGTTGCTAAGAAAAAATGGAGTGAATTACGAAGTGATAACAGCGCGTAGTTTATTATTTCCTCTGGATGTAAAGAGAGTCGCGGGTATCTTTTTCGGCATCCGGCCGAATTTAAAACCGTTTGAATTATATATATGGACACGAATCTCCCCTATCGCACATACATGCACACAAAGTGTATATAACTTCGTATCTCTTCGTACAACGAGATGTATCTCCAACTTCCTCTTTTCTTTTTGACGCATCGTCAGAGTTTTCATCGGATAATAATATGTGGATGTTACAAAATTTTCATTCTTCTCTTATCAAAAATGCACATCTCGATTTATAAAATTCTAATAATTCATAATTCGTAATCCAAATGTTTTTTCACCGGAAGTGCGATCGACCGATAATTAATTATTTATCGCTTAATTCGAACGGAAAATAAAGGGGCAAGGACCCCGGGTGGGTTTGTAGGGCTTCCCTCTTGCATTTACAAGATGTTCTGGAAAACCGGCATGAGCGGGCTATTATATGAACGCAGGTGTCGGTGCAGATGTCGCGTAGCAGACGGCTTCGCTTGCGGTACCGTCTCGAAATTTTAATAAAACGTTCGCGGAGAACGAGAGAGCAAAGAAAGAAAGAGCCGTATTTATTATCGGTTACCGTTTTACATTCTAATTTGTGATATATACATTTTTTTTATCTGTACCGCTAAAAAATAAATTAGGCTTCTCGAGAGACTCATTAAAAGATATGCGTGATTGCAAAATTATCCCTAGTTGAATTAAAATTCATTTAAATTTTTTTAAAGAAAGATGTTTTATATTTATTCTCCATAATAAGGTTCTTTTATTGTGGAAAATCATTTTTCTCGAAATTATTTGCTAGTTCCTGAAAAAATATATCGTATTAAAGAAAAACAAAGTGATACTTATTTATTTTCATTATTTCTTTCAGTCTTATATATCTATATATATAATATTGAAAATATTTATGGACGCGCCGAATGTCATATTTATCTATTTTGTCATTAAAAAAATTAAGTGTACTGACACAATATTTTCGAAAATTCTGCCATGAATTTTATAAGTAATATAAAAATAAGATAAATAATTTATATTTTTTTTCAATTTAATTCTATCGATACTAATAAGAAAATGTATTATTCCAGGTAGAAGTCGAGATGTTGTGATGGCTGGTAAATCACGACGTTCGAGCACAGAGCTCGAACCAGATCTATCGACGCCAACGGCTCCGAAAAAGTCCAAGCAAGCCGAAAAATCGTCCACGGAGCCCTTAACGGAGGTTCGGAGTACCGAGACACCGTCCACGAGCGAGATATCTTTGCAAGCGGAAGTTGTGCTGGTCCAGGAAAGAGGAGAAGAGGAAAAACGACGAACGGGATTGTCCGAGCGATCGGTTTCGGTCCATGAAGCAACGATCGAGCGAACGGATCCAAGGATCTCCGAACGAGAGAAGGCGGCGACCTCGGGCGAATCGGTCCCGGGTACTTCGAAGGAGGAACAACTCGGCACTCTGAAATCTATTGTAATGAAGTATAGCGAGCAGAGCGACGAGCTCCCTGGTCTTCCCGGAAGCAGACCGAAATGCGAGACGACCGTGCAGAGCTTTACGTTGCGCGAACACGCGTCCTACGAAGACCTTTCTGTTATCGGGAACGGTGCCTACGGTACGGTGTACAAGGCGAAGGACAAGTCCAGCGGTCAAATTGTAGCGCTTAAGAAAGTTAGGGTACCATTGACGGACGATGGCTTACCCATGTCCACCCTGAGAGAGATCGCTGCTCTAAAGTCGCTCGAACGCTACGAACATCCAAATATTGTGAGTATTAGTAACGATAAATTTCTGTTGATGTATGCAATATCAATATGTCACTTTTATATACATATAAAAAAATTAATATTATTTTTTCGATATATTTATGGATATGTACTGATGTTTTTTTCTCCTTTGTTCAGGTCAGATTACTCGATGTCTGTCAAGGAGATTATCTTCACTTACCATCGGGTGATGGTGAACAATCCGAGAGACTAGACCGTGGTCTCACCCTCTGGTTGGTGTTCGAACATGTGGAAAGAGATCTCGCTTCCTATATAGCCAATTATCGAGATAGCTCTCCGCGATCGGGCATCTCGCCGTATCTCGTGAGGCAAATGTTGAAAGAAATACTATATGGAGTGGAGTTCCTACATAGCCATAGAATAATACACAGGGATTTGAAACCGCAAAATCTTTTGGTAACGCGGGAAGGAAGAATCAAAATCGCGGATTTTGGTTTAGCCAAGACCTACGACTTCGAGATGAGATTAACTTCCGTGGTACGTGTGAAAAAAAATTTATATAAAGAAATCTATTTGTTTTGTTAATTTTTATATTATTAATTTTTTCAATATTAAATCTGTAAGTAAGGATTTATGTGTCAGTATTAAAATAATTGATGTTTTTTAACTGGCAAGTCAGTTCATGTCAGTTATATCTATAATATGTCTCTCTGAATAGAACATTATTTGGCATCGATAAAACTTCATGTTGTTCTATTATAGGTTGTGACTCAATGGTATCGAGCACCTGAAGTACTTTTAGGATGTTCCTATGCTACCCCTGTAGATATCTGGTCTGTCGGATGTATATTGGCAGAACTTTGCAAATTGGAACCATTATTCCCAGGTAGTAGCGAAGGTGATCAACTCGACAGGATTTTCCAGTGAGTTATATATACGATTCTCTCTTGTTATTTTTTTTAAACTAAATTTTTGAAAATTTTTCTCTGTTATTTATTGTCCTTTCCCATATTAGAGTTTTAGGCACACCGTCGCAGCAAGCATGGCCACAGAATGTATCACTCAGTTGGACAGCTTTCCCATACAGACAACCTAAACCTCTTGGTGCAATAATACCAGATCTCAATGAACATGGATTAGACTTAATAAGAAGTATGCTCATGTTTGATCCTCATAGTCGTATAACCGCAGCACAAGCAGTAAGACACCGATACTTTTCTGAAGAAGCTATACAATGAAGATGTACACTGAAGAATATACACTGAAGAATATACAATGTTCCGTAAGTTATCTAGATCTACTAGTAAACTCAGACTGATGTAACTGTATTCAGGACTAAAAACATTTCTCCATACGTAAGTACGCTATAATAGTACATAAGATTAATAGTTGATTAATTAAACATCTAATATATGAGTATTAAGAATCCCACTTGTGCGTTACAAATTCAATTAACAATTAAAATTAACTGTTTAATAGTTAAATTTCAATCTGTTGTATTAAATAGTTGATAATAGTCGTTATGTACCCCTTATATTTTATTTTTATATAGTTAATTTCCCTGTAGTTAAGTTATTTAGAGTAAACATAATGAAACGTCATAATTTTGCAAAACAACCTATGATATTTAAGTAATATATAATTTAAAGGGCTTCTAGGTGTACCTTAATATACAATGTGAGAATGAGACAATTATTATTTTTGATATGTTATTTATTTACATAATGACGTCTTAATATTTCAGTCAATCATCTTTTTATAAAGATGTTAAGAATTATGTTTCTCATTAATTTCTTTTATATTTTACATTATCGTGTTTAACAGCTTAGTTGTATACATATGACATTAATAGGATAAGTTAAGTAAAATGCGTATAACTGGAAAGAAAATCTGAAAGAAAATATCTATTAATAGTATGAAAGCGATTGTATGTATATCGCGAATACCTTATTTAACTTTAGTTCAACTATATAAAATTGACATAAAATTAAGGTAACAAATATGTGTATGTATATTTTTCTAAGACTGGGACTTTATATAATCCATTAGAGACATATGTGAAAGATTAGAATCTTCCATAGAAAACCAGAAAGCGCACTGCCATATCTTGTATGTACCATGAGCCATTAAATAATCATTATAATATCATATTTTTCATTAATGTATAATATTGACGACGTGTATAGAGCAATAATTATGACAATATTTATGTCAGTTCGTTTAATGTGCATTATTGCGTATTAATAAGATAATACAAAAATATATACATAAATATATTGTTAAGAAGACTGTATCATAAAATAAAAGTTTTATAGTTTTATATGCAGGAATTTGTCAAGTTTCTTAATTACATAATATTATATTTCCTTTAATATATTTATTAAAGAATAAACATTTATTTTAAACACTTTTAGAATCATATAGATTTGAATAACTATTTCAATTTAAGAAAAAATTAACTTTAAATTTCAAACAATTTTCAGTGCATTGAAAATTCGCGCGCTTAAAGCGCGTTCCGTTTGACATTTGCATTGCACGTGGGATTATTTTATCTTTGTTGTTAATTGAAAATTAAACAAAGACAGACGTTGCAAACTGCAAGTGGAACGCGCTCTTAAAAATTCATGTCAGGTATGGCTACGTTTACGTGAATGTGAGATCTTTTAAATTTTGTGATTGTAAACTGCAAATAGAACAGATAAAATATAATAATATAGCGGAATATTTAATATTGAGAATACAGTTATATTTTATTAAATATGCGCCTGTGACATCGTTGCTGCTCCTCGACATGAAATTATTATCGAACTTTGCCATAAGCGCGTGTAGACATTTAGGTTATCTCGGTAGTCGACCTAACTGTTCTGTCAGTTTGCGAAAAATGGCGACCGAGGTGGAGAAGGCACAATCAGCTGTGCCGGAAAGCGATACGATATTTGGAAAAATACTGCGAAAAGAAATTCCATGCAACTTTATTTACGAGGATAATCAGGTAAATTATGACATGATGTACAAATTTTGAAAGGTACACGTCGTTTTGTTGAATTTTTCGACATAAATCGATTTACCGGCGTTCTATACTTTATTTCCAACACATCATTGAATATCAAATGCTATTTTAAATATAATTTGTATGTAGATTATTATTCAAAATATAGTGAATAAACGATGTAAATATCTAAATATTTTCAAATATTAAAATATATTTTAAACTATATTTTAGAATTCAGAAAGGTACATTTTATCTACTCATCTAAGAAAGATTGTTATTGCATTGCAAATTATTTAAATTTGTTATTACCGCAAAAGTAACTTGCAAAATCAACCACATTTATGTAACCACATTGTTTTTTTGCTGAGTTGTCATAGTAAACATGTTGACTTTAATTATCTCTAATCTTAAAAGAGAATTATAGATTAATATTAATATAGAAATCATGTATAAAATATTTCTTATTAATGGAAATAACTTGATTTATAATTTTCTGAAGAAAGATTTGTAAAAAAAAAAATAAATTTTGATTAAATATAAATATTAATATACACAACAATATAATTTCATTATATTTAAATTTTACAGTGCGTTGCATTTGATGATGTAAATCCTCAAGCACCTGTGCACTTTCTGGTGATTCCACGGAAACCAATTCCGCAGCTTTCCAAAGCTCAAGATGAAGATGAACCTTTACTTGGCCACTTGATGAATATCGCTCATAAAGTTGCAAAGCAAAAGGCTTAACAAATGGATTTCGCTTGGTTATCAACGATGGAAAACATGGTGCACAGTCTGTGTATCATCTGCATTTGCATGTCCTCGGTGGTCGACAATTGGAATGGCCACCTGGCTAATGTGTCCATTTGCACAAATATACAAACAGCATTTTTATTATAAAATATAAAGTAGTGAATCCAGTAGTAAGGATAAGGGTGTGTGGTTTTATCAAATTTTTCTAACTTAAATATATCTAAAATGTATGCCTAAAAAATATTATATAAAAAAGTACGCTATGATTAATAGTGTTGTGTTTGTATATTATAATTGTGAATGATTAACAATACACAATTATTAATGAGTTATATGTCTTATATTTTTATTATATACATACATAGAAAAAATTTTATAAAAATAGTGTATCTGTTATGAATAGCTTCAATAACTAAAATGTTGAAGTTTCTGCTAATTATCTTTTTCATATACTTCATATACAAATTGGATTCCTTTTTCTTCTTGGATATCTTGTGGCACAGCTGGATCTCTGAAATTAGATTAGATGTGTAAAGCAGAACAGCATTGATATGAAATGTTAAATGCACAATATAGAAAAAATTGATGCTTACTTTATCAGTACAAAATTATTTGGAATAGGAGGGAAGAATGTATCGCATTCAAATTCTTTCTTTATACGTGTCAAATACAATCGCCCAAAATATGGAGATTCCATGGCGTTCTATATGGACATACAAGAATCATTATTTGATTTAAATCTAGACTATCAATATATATGCCTGTTATTAAAACTTTTTTTTAGTCAATTTTCTATACTTTCTGTCATTTTTCTTTCCTTGGTTCTAAGTAGTGAATATATACTTGTTTATTTTAATTATAATAGAAAGTGTGATATGTGTAAAAAAAAACCAGATTTAATTTGAAAATGTCACACATTACCTTGTACACTTTACTTCCTCCTATTACCCACACTCTTTCTATTTGATTCTGCATTTCTGTAATCAATTCGATAGCATGTGTATACTTTTACATGTTATTGCCTTATCTCCATAATCCCTAAAATTGACCAATTCAGTATTTTTTTCAAAAAAATTAAATTTGTTATTTCATAAATAATTCTCATCCATAATTACAGTGATTGTGATGTTAACACCATATTTATGCGGTTCTCTAAAGGTCGATACTTTTCAGGGATACATTCCCATGTATGCCGACCATAAGTACAACATTCTTTTTATTTTTATCCTCTGTATCAGTTGTCATATGTGTAAAGTATGCCATTTCAGTCCTGTAATTCAGATTTATTTATAGATGAATGTTTAATACAACTTTGTATAATTATTGAAGATCTTACTTTAAACCGCCAGGGTAAATCGCATTTATTCATGCCCATATTTTCACATGCTGCGGCAATTAATTCTAATTTAAGTGGCATATTGACACGCGAATAATAATGCAATGATCCTGAAAATCACACAATGATATGATATAGATTATCACAAACTATAACTAGTCAATAATGATTCTTCTTCATTTTTTGTTTGAGCTGTGCTGATCTTGCTAGGTCATGTTTTGCCGGCTCAATAATAATTGAACTGAGATATTCGAATATCTTATCTCCCTACCACTTCAATTAAAGATAAGAAGGCGAGTGAGTTTATTAAAAAAAATATTTAGAACATTGTTTAGCTATATTATTACTTTCTGAAAAATATAAGGAAAAAACGTTGCATGTGTAAATATTGCAATTGTGTAAATATTTTTAAAGTAGTAGAATTATATGCTTGTCCAAAAAAATTAAATCAATGCTACCAACATTTGAATTGTTGGACAAACAAATAAAGAAAATAATATCGATTTTCTGAATACTCACGATGCATCATTTTGTACAATTTACATATACATTATACACCAATAAAAAATTAATTTATTCCAAACACACGAGAATCCATTTAATATACAATATTATTTATCGAAAATTAATATTGAATTATTTATGTGCACATTTTGCTATATATAACATTGAATTCAAGTTCGTCGTTAAAAACTGCACAAATCCATACATTTAATTATATTTGATCAATCTTATTTACATTATTTCTTATAATTCCAAATACAATATCATCATTTATGTAACAAATTTAAAGCAAATCTGTACAAGGCAGAGAGAGAGAAAAAAAGTGTGACACCTCCAAGCTCAACTTGTGGCAGCACAATCTGTATAATCGAATCGACAAAACTCTTATCCTACCGCATAAACATTTATCATTTCTACGAATTTCTGAACGTGCAGTTTCTGGCTTACAAAAGTAATTTAGTTCGGAAATTTAATATTGTTGAAAGTAAGTAAAGGACTTAAATATTAATTTGTTTTTAACAAGTTTTACAAATAGTCCATGACAGTATAAAATATTTTGATTTAATGAATGTTACATGGTTTTCTCAAGAATATGTCGTATATATGTATGTGACTTACAAATTATTTAATTCAGTGTTAATATTAATAGCATAGTTAATATTTATATGTATTCATCAAATAATCGTCATTTAAAATCTTTCATTTTTTGATTGTGTTGCATCAGAGGTTATATTTGATTTAATTTAAGAACATTTATTATTATGTTTTTTTTCTATCAATAATAATCATTAATCAATTAATATGTAATTATTTTTATATGCTTCAGAATGTCTGGTCGAGAAGGAGGTAAAAAAAAGCCTTTGAAGGCACCAAAGAAGGATTCAAAAGTTATGGACGATGAGGATGTAGCATTCAAGCAAAAGCAAAAGGAACAACAAAAAGCATTAGCTGAAGCAGCAAAGAAAGCCAGTCAAAGGGTCCTCTAGTCACTGGTGGTATAAAGAAATCTGGAAAGAAATGATCATGTGTCGAATGGATGAAATATGCGATTGACTGTGCACATAAATGTCTGATGTCTTATAACAATAATTTTAAACTGATCCATTGTTTATACCGGATTTCTGCGATATCTTTTTTTACAATCCTTATATATTTCGAGAAATGCTTTTAACTTGTAAATAAAAACAGCATGTTGTGTATGTATTTTTCACTTTCTCTTGACTTTTTTCATAAGTATGATTTATAAGTCACAATTCATGTACTGAAGGACTATAATTTTTGTTCCTCTTTATTGACAAATTTACATATTTTGCATCAAATACTTTTATTTCAAAATTATTTTAATTGGATAAAGACAAATCTTTACTAGTATCAATTATAATTCTCAACAGTACGACTCAATATTATTTGACATTAAATTCTGTCTACTGTCTCTATTTAACATTTTTAATATAAATATATATATATACTAATTGTTAAATTATAATTTGATAAATATTGTCAGAGAGAAACACTCTCTCTGATATTGTAAAGATTGAAAAAATAATTGAAAAAACCTAAATTTTTCTTAATATATGCGATTATTCGCCAGAGGGCTATAGATTTAAAGTTACAACGTTGGCGACCCTGATTGCTAGTGTTGCATCACACGATTAGATTGTGTGTGAAATACAAATTTGGCGTCAATTATGTATAATTGAATTTTGCATTTGCATTCGTGAAGAATATTATGTTATAAAAAATGTGGATGTGGAGGACATCGATTGTCACCGCATCGGATCGTATTTTCCCGGTTTAGCCTATTACGATCGAAAAAAGAATTTTATGATATAGGTATATATACATACATTTCGTTTATATGACGGTTGCCAGAGAAACGATAATAGTAAATATTCGCGATCGATCCATTAATTAACTTTATGATTAACAATTCGATATTTTTATTTATTTGACATATATAAATATAATAAAGTAAATTTTTTTCATTTTATTACATTAATTATTAAATTTTAATGATGATCGATGATATTATATATATTTATGAAAAACTTTGTTTAATTAATTTATATAATTTTTTAATTTGACAACTAATTAAAATCATAATTCTTCGTTTTTGCAGGAAATCAGATACAAGCCAATTTGCACTTCAAATAGCATTATATTTTAATGTAGGGATATTTCCATTGTGGTTTATTATAATAATTGTTAACTTGGATGCAAAGTTAAATATAATAAAATTTTTCATTTAAAGTTAGTATTTAAATAAATAGTATTAAATAATAAAGGGATGTTTTTCTTTATTTTGCAGTATTATTACTTGACAGATGTATACAAAGTTATAACTATAGCAGTATTTATTGTTATATCAACATTGGAAAGTTTACGATTATACTTGGGATATCTTGAAATTTAGCAGAAAAGGTATATACATTATAAGACAGAAAATTGAAAGCAAAATAAATGTTTAAATATTACTTTCACACAGATTCCAGAACTGGCAAGTTTTTGGCTGATATCTACTCTTATACATTTACCTTTAGAGATGTTTCTTCTTTTTTTTTCGATAATAAACTATACCTCATCTTAGCGAAACAATTGCTAATGGTGTCATGAGTTTTCTTCTTGTTACGGAATTATAACAGCTACGATAGCTTTAAAACAATTGGCAATCATCATGCTAAAAGATTTTATGTTGCACAATTATATGGAATTGAATAATTAGAGTACATTAATGTTACTGACTTTATTGCTTTTCAGATTTTACAATATAATATTGCATTATTATGTCAATAATATTAATCTAATGTGATGATATTTTAGTGTTAAATCTGAATCAAACTAATTTTTGTATTTTATATAACTTAAATATGTTATATATAATATATAATATATATATATATAATATATATATATATGTGTGTTGTGTGTGTTGTAGACACATTTTATATGAAGAAATTCATAATTTCCCATACATAATAGGAAAACAAAATTTCCTCCTAACTTCATTATTTTTTAAATATAACTGTTAATTTATTTTGTTTGTTAATTTTTTCTCTATTTGGTTTAAGAGATAATATCAAACTCTAAAATAATTTTATTACACTACAGTATCACTTCTAGATTATGATCAATATAAAATGTCTTTAAAGCTAGCACATTTTCTTTAAATTTATTAAGGACATCTCCATGTTATATAAAGTAATTTCCTCTTTATCCAATTCTCCATCTGCCAATGACAGTAAAAGTTGCGAACGAGTAGGTGTCATACGTGACAGGAGCTTTAACAATTTAAGATTTAGACACCATATTATTATATTTTTAAAATTTATTTTTAATGCAGTACAACTTTTTCTATAATCTAAATGGTTCTCTACACATGGGAAATTTATACTTACATTAAACAATTTTGTGCCATCCAACCATGATATGGCTCTAAATTTCTTAATGACTCTTTTAGAAAAGCAACTAAATCCTCTGTCGCTTTCCCAGTCTTGTGATCTTCACAATCCTTTCGAAGAATAGTAAAATCATATGTAAGGCCCTAAAGCAATAAATAAAAAATGTTATATGTAGATATTTATATATATATATATAATTAATAATTATATATATATATATAATATATATATATATATATTATATATATAAAATTAAAGAATTTATATAGACAAATACCTTCTCAACCACATTAAGGCATCAACTGCAACGAGATCTTCCTCAGTAGATTTTTCAAGCAAGATCATGTCTTGTAGAGTTGAGTTTACTTATTTATCCATAGAATATCTAGTTGTAAGTTTCTGGAATTGAAAGACATATTTTGAAAAATCCATAGAGCGTAACTTAGGAAGTTCCCTACATTAATTCTTGTTACACTAACATCAATATTGCCTTGCATGTCGTATCGTACAGGAGCAAACAATTTGCCAAATTTTTTGAAATGAAAATTTGCTTTTAGCGTTCGCGTTTTACGTCATGTTTGCAAAATTATTTTGTTCAGCAACGATTAATCGTGATAATTTGAGGTTATAATTAAAATGAATTAACGTACCGACTGTTCGAACAACATCGCGGGAGGCTTGTAAAAATTCTTCCGTATTTATTTTGTCATCGATTATTTCGGAAATTGTACTCGATTATCAAATTTTATCGGAGTACAAGCTTCTTTTTGAATGATTGAATCGAAGGATGACATGTTCTCTAACCTTAAAATGTGCGTATTTGACCATGTATACATATCTACTGTCAAATAGACAAAAGAAAATACGCTGATACGTTACTATTAATAATTAAAAAATTTGTAATACTAAATAACAAGATAACACAAGCGTGCGCTTCGCGCACGCCAAACAAATTCATTATATTACTCTTGTAATTGTAAGCTTTAAAAAATACAGTAGTTTAAAGAAAACTGTCAAAGTTAATTCTCTTCACATTTCAAGACATTCGAATTCTGCATTTTCCATAAATATATTTTTCGATTAAGAATGTTCTTAACATAAAAAATCAATTCCAAACACGAATGAGCAAGTAAAATTTAAATATCTAAAAGTATGACACTTTTTAAAATTTTCGTTCAACATCGAAAACGATCTATCTTCATTTAAAGACTTTGAACGCACTTAAAAATGTGTTTTTAATATATATTAATGTGAATCTGACAGCTGACTATAAAAAATAATTTGTTTAATACGGAAATGATAGTACGTCGATCGCTCGCGTCGTCAGTCGAAAATCAAAAATTCAAGTTTTTCCCCAAATTAAAATAACGCAAATCCAAATCAGCAGTCTTATTAAAATCGTTTATAGATGTGTGAACTGAATTTCGTTTCGCTTTAAGTTGCACACTTTAAAAAATACAACAATTTAAAAAAACTGTCAAAGACAAATTGTTTCAAATTTCAAGATTTTTTAATTCTGCTTTGTACATCGATGTAACAATCGCAGGCGAATGTCCCGAACCACAAGAAACGATTCTAAACACGACTGAGCATGTATATTTGACATATCTTAAAGCTTGTCACTCTTTAAATTTTTTCGCTTCAACATCGAAATCGATCTATCTTCGCTTAAAGACTTTGAACGCACTTAAAAATGTGTTTTTAATATATATTAATGTGAAGCTGAAAGCTGACTATAAGGAATTAATTTTTTAATACCGAAAATGATAGTACGTCGATCGCTCGCGTCGTCAGTCGAAAATCAAAAATTCGAATTTCTCCCCCAAATTGAAAATAACGCAAATCCAAATCAGCAGTCTTATTAAAAACAGTTTATAAATGTGTGAATTGAATTTCGTTTCGCTTTAAGTCGCACACTTTAAAAAATACAGCAGTTAAAACAAAACTATCAAAATGAATTTTTTCAAATTGAAAACAACGCAAATCCAAATCAGCACTCTTATTAAGAATCGTTTATAGATGTGTGAACTGAATTTCGTTTCGCTTTAAGTCGCAGACTTTAAAAAATACAGCAGTTTAAACAAAACTATCAAAAATGAATTTTTTTAAATTGAAAATAACGCAAATCCAAATCAGCAGTCTTATTAAGAATCGTTTATAGATGTGTGAACTAAATTTCGTTTCGCTTTAAGTCGCACACTTTAAAAAATACAGCAGTTTAAACAAAACTGTCAAAAATAATTTTTTCAAATTGAAAATAACGCAAATCCAAATCAGCAGTCTTATTAAGAATCGTTTATAGATGTGTGAACTGAATTTCGTTTCGCTTTAAGTCGCACACTTTAAAAAATACAGCAGTTTAAACAAAACTATCAAAAATGAAATTTTTCAAATGAAAATAACGCAAATCCAAATCAGCAGTCTTATTAAGAATCGTTTTATAGATGTGTGAACTTTATTTCTTTCGCTAAGTATCGTTCGACCTTTACAATTTAAACAAATGAAAATTAAATCAAATCAAATGCAATTTTTTAAAGAAAATAACAGCAAATCGAATCAGCAGTACTTATTAAGAACGTGAGAGTATTACAATGAAAGATATTTTCGCACCTTTATCTCAGCAGTATTAAAACAATTTAAAAAAATTACTGTTTTAACGAACTCTATTTGAAATAATCTTCTTTAAAAAATCAGTCTTCA